GTGTTAATGCTTGAAAAACAGAAACAAGTAAAATATATGAGGCTACATACTTTAGAAAAATACAGCTCGTCATTTTCTAAATATACAACTAGTTTAAAGTAACAAATGTACAGATGTTCATTTTTTTCAATTAGTGTCAATGAGCAGAAAGTATGTTTTGCACATCTGCCATTACTGGACCGTTTAAAGTAATAAAGAAACAGCATCAATGAAAAGTACTGAATAGGCCACAAGTACAACTTTAACTGTGTCTGAATAAGATTATATTTAATTAATAACATCCAAACATTGAACATTGAATAACTCTCCAGTTTTAGCTTCTCTCCACTGGCTCCCCATCAAGTCCAGAAGTGAACTCAACATTTTATTTCTAACCTACAAAGCTCTCAACAACCTAGCTGTGAGGCTGACACATTGTCCAGTTTTAAGATTTCCTGTTTGATAAATCCTATAGTTAGGGTTGTTGTGCTGCTATAGACTTAGACTACTAGAGGACAAACTGACCTCATCTCCTTAAATTAATTGTTAAAACTGAATAGTTTTCATTTGATACTATTTCTATCTTAACATGTGATTCTTGACCTGCCATTGTGTATCTATTCCTCTCAAACCCAGCCGGTCCTCTTGTCCTGATCCTGGTTCTGCTGAAGGTTTTTTCCTCATGAGGGAGTTTTTCTTTCCACTGTCGCCTTCGTGCTTGCTCAAGATTAGAGTTCAGTGATGGAGTTAAACTCAGAGCTGCTCCTCACATAAATAAAGTTAAATTATTGTTTTTACATTTGAATGTTTCTGTTCAACGTCCTGAGACTTCTGCTGTGACTTGGAGCTCTAGGAATAAACTGAACTGAACGCAGATGTAACTCTGTGGAACAGCTTCACGTCGAGTTTGAGTTTTAAGAGGATTTAAAGACAGTTCTTGTCATCCTGATTCGTTTAAAACCAACTCGTAAGTCGGCGGCTGATTATTAAACAACAAGAGGAAGTTCTGTTGCTTCTATTAATCATTAAAAAAAAAAAAAACTGACCCAACCAGCTTGAAAACCCGGAGCTAGTTTCGGTTGGGACGTAACGATGCTAGTTTATCCAGTGAGCTCATTATTATGCACACGAATAAGCTCGAACCATTTGACACACTTTAGCGTTACCTTATCGTATTTACAAACTATAAAGTTGAAGTTTTTACTCACTTTCAAGTTCGTAAACAAACGCCTGCTAGCATCGGTAAGCTAGCTAGTTGGCTATTAAAGTTCTCGGCGTCTTCGTTAGCGGAGGAGAACACGGCTACTACCGGAAGTCATTCAAAATAAAACTCAACCGAACAGGAGCGGGCAAATTCAGCTATAACGGTGAGCCACGGGCTCTTATTTTGACAACCCTGACCGGAAACAGCGGTTTGACGTTCAGCTAACTTCACGAAGAAGTTCTTGAAGCCAGCAGCTAAGTGAAAGTTAGCTAGTCGACGTTAGCTACTTATGAGAAGCCCGTGTGTGTTAACCGGAAACCTCCCGGTGGACGACAGTTAACGTTCACTTCAGTCCACACAGAAATAAAGTGAAAGCACGACATGCTAACGCTCGGCTGGTTCCGTTTCTTCGCGGGTCAGGCTTTGTTCGCTTACCTTGATCGAAGGTGCGGCGCGTGTGCGAGTCGCTGCTTCCACCGGGGGCGCGCCGTCCCGGTCCTCCTGGACTCAGCGGACACCTAGCGGCTCCGACCTGTCCTCTCAAGGCCTCACCTTAAAACTCAGTGTGGCCTCGTGAACTGGGCCGGATCCAAAATTCAGTTGGTCCAGAATGCTGCCGCCAGAGTTTTAACTGGAGTTAGTGGGAGAGATCATATTTCTCCAGTTTCATCTTCTCTCCATTGGCCAATTCAAAATCTTACTTTACCTACAAAGCGCTCAACAACCTAGCTCCATCCATTTTATTACAGATCTTATTGTTCCATATTTTCCTAACAGAGCTCTTTGCTCTCAGACTGCAGCTTTACTTGTGGCTCCTAGAGGTTCCAGAAGCAGAATGGGAGGAAGATCTTCCAGTTCTCAGGCTCCTCTCTTGTGGAACCAACTTCCAGTTTCTGTCCGTGAGGCTGACACGTTGTCCAGTTTTAAGACTGGGTTTAAGACATTTTTTATATATAAATCTTTTAGTTGTGGGCGGCTGTGGCTGAGTAGTTAGAGCAGTCGTCCTCCAGTGCAAGAGTTGGGGGTTCTAATCCACCAGCAGTCATGCTGAAGTGTCCCTGGGCAAGACACTGAAGCCCTCGTTGCCTCTGATGTGTGTCCATCAGTGTTTGAACGTGATAAATCACTGATTAGTCTCTTTAGAATGATTTGTTCAATTATCTTTGTAGAGATCTAGTATAGAGCTGAGAATGGGTCAATGAGGGCACAGGTTGTTGTGAAGCGCTTTGAGAAGATACAAAGGTGCTGTACCTGCACAAGTACAGTCCATTTACCATTTAGGGTTGGCTTGGTTTCATCACTTATCCCTTAGTTTAATTATGCGGCTTAGACATAGGACAAACTGCACATTTCATCAAATGAATAGTTACAAACGAATAGGTTTTATTTGTAATTATTTCTATCTTCATGTGTTCTTTTTGTCTTTCGTTCTATGAGAGACCTTCTCGCCTCCATTCTGGACCTGACGTGTGTCCATTCATTCAACCTTTATTTAAGCAGGTTAGTCCCATTGAGCCTCGAGGACTCATTTACAAGAGAGACCTGGTTTCAACAAAGAGTCAAGACAACGATGGACATTTTGATGGGAAACTTCAGGGTTAGTTTGGCTGATGGCTCACAGCCCTTCTTGGCAGAACCAGTGAAGTTTATTTAAATCGGTTGGTTTCCTGACTCGACTTCTAATCAGAGTCGGGGCAGACCCGGGACTGTTTGCCGGATCAGAAACCAGTTCTCATGTGTTTGGGACCACTGTCCTGCAGGACCCAACAGTGTCTAAGTTTCAACTGTCCAGCTCTTGATTTGAGGTGAAGAGCTGGAAGGTAGTCCTCCCTTATTATTCCATCCACTTCAGGACCAAAGCACGATGCTACCACCACCATGCTGGACAGGTGGACCAGGGTCCTTGGGTCTGAAAGTCTCACCTCGACTGCTCCAGAACTGCCCAGGGTCTCATCTGACGTCAAACCTTTCTCTAGAAGACCTTTGTGGACAGATGCAGGTCAAAGGTGTGGCTATTAGAACAGGAACTTCCTTCTTAGTCCTCCCAGTCCACGGTGATGTCAAAGTGGATCCACTGTGGACGGGGACACCTGTCTCCTCCCCCCAGCAGGATCCAGTTCACGTCAGGCTTTGTTCCTGGGTTTGTCCTGAAAACCAGTTTTTCATCCTTTAAGGTAATCATTGCAGTCCTAGGCATCACGGTGGTGCAGCTGGTAGACCTGTCACTTCTCAGTGAGGTCACAGGTTTGACTCCTGACCTTTGTGTGTGCAGTTTACATGATCTCCCTGCAGGTTTCCTCCCTGCGACCGAAACCATCCGTTAGGTGTTCCTGGGTCTGAGTGATGGTGTGAATGGTTGTCTTCGAACCCTGCGATGGACTGAAGACCTGTCCAGGACGTCCTCCACCTCCCTCACAGTGACGGCTGGAGGCAAACACCAACAACCCCCCGTGACCCGGAAAGGATACGCAACGGACTGCCACTTCATGAGAACTGATCCAAAACAAATAATCCACAGAACGTCCCAAAGCGATGGTTCTTATTAAAACGGCAGCGACTATTTGGAAACAAAGTCAGTGATGGAGACGTCCAACAGTTCTGATGTATCGGCACATTTACACTCAGACTGGTCGAGTAAAATAAGATGAAAAGATAATGCAGGATGAACTTGGTGACAGATGAAGCTTTACGCTGAGCTCCGTCTTTCGGGCAGAGCGTCGAGTTAACTTCATCTATAAAGCCCATTTAAAAACAGCAGCTGGTACCAAAGTGCTTAACAATCAAACAAATGGCAGTAATTAAATAAAAATAATAAAAAAATACAATTAACATCATCAAACAAAAAAACACAAAACAATAAAATATTAAATCAAATCACACTGTGTTAAACCTCAGGTGTTTTTATCAGATTTAAAAACAGGAAGTGAAGTGTCCTGTCTAATGTGGGGGGGGGGGGCCAGATTGTTCCAGTTTAGGGCCACGACTGAAAAAACCTGATCTTCTCTGAGCTTCAACCAAAATCAGCTGATCAGATGATCTCAGCGCCGGAGAAGGAGCATGTGGTTGAAGTAGCTCAGAGGTATGAAGGTGCAAGGACATTTAGGCACTTGAAGGTCAACAGGAGAATTTAAAATCTGTTCTGACACGTACAGGGAGCCAGTGAAGGGAGGACAGAACTGGTGAGATATGATCAAACCTACACGTTCCTGTTAAGAACCGAGCTGCAGCGTTTTGGACGAGCTGGAGACGTGAAGGGAGACCTGACTGCCCCCAACATCAAGCACGTTAGAGTCGTCCAGCCGGGTTGTAACGAAGGCATGGACTATTTTATGAAGGTCAGATCTGGTCAGCACCGACTTCAGTTTAGATATCTGCCTTAACTGGAAGAAGCTTTTCTGCAGAACACAGTTAATCTGTTTATTCAACTTAAAGTCAGAGTCTAAAACCATCCAGAGGTTTGTGACAGACACCTTAAGATATGAAGAGTCAAGGTTTACAGGAACAGACGGCAGTAGAGCTGGGGATAAACTCAACGACCTCAGTTTTCTGATCGTTGAAACTTAAAACATTTGAAGCCATCCATGCCTTGATGTCATCAAGACATTTTACCAGAGGGTGGATTGTGCATGAACTGTTGGGTTTTAAGGGCAGATACATTTGACAATCATCAGCATAACAATGAAATGAAAGACCATGTTTCATCAGGATAGACCCCAAACGGAGCAGATAGAGTGAAAACAGAAGGGGTCCAAGAATCGAGCCGTGCGGAACCCCACAGGAAAGAGGCACTGAAGCAGACAAAATATTAAAGTTAGCCTCTTTGTTTTATTTCAACACCTTCTCTGTGCTCGCCTCATTCCAACATGTTTGTACAGAGCGAAGCCGGCCTGATGCTGATCAGTCCGGTGCTTGTTTACATTAGGTGCGTACCCGCATTTCATAACTTCATGCAAACAAATCTAGAAAACTACTGGAGTAAACTCTCAAACGGCATCATTAAAAAAAAGGCGAACCTTTTACGTTTTCTAGTTTGCATAGAGTACCTTTAATGCAACATCACAAAAATACAAAACAAGACAAATAGACCTGAAATGTCCGGGGCCACACAGTCCAGCAGGTAAAGAAGCCGACGCAAGGGTTCTGCAGGAACAATGAAATAAAGAATGATCTTAAACTGTATTTTTCCAGTCACCAGAGGGAGCCTGCGTACGAGGAGCCTCAATCTGTTTCTAGTTTTTGTTGCCATTTAATAACCAGATTTACAGAAAAACGTCTACGGTAAGTATTTAACTTCAGCGTTGTGAGGCCGTTTAGATTTTATACACGTCTTAGAACGAAAACTCAGCAGAGGCGAGTTTTTAAACGTGATCCAGGAGTTCGTCGCCTCGTTGGTCGAAGAGTGCAAATAACTTTAAGAAAAAGGAAAGAAATGGAGAGAAACGTCAACAGAAGCCCTGAAGGCGTGCGGACCTGAAGAACCGGTCCGGGACCACCAGCCTCTCGTGCAGCCAGTGTCTGACACCGTGAGTAGCAGCAGTCGTACAGTGATGGACACTTTCCTTGTTAAAACCAGGCCAGCAAAATAAAAACCTGCAGTGCAACGGACTGTATTCACATTTTTTCTGATGTACCGTTAAAATATATATTTATAGATATTTATATATATTTGTACTCCCAGAGTCCCTCTCTGTTAGTTAATGTTTCCTCAGCTTGTCCCTTTTCTTCTGATCCTCAACGATCTTCCTCTGAAATATTCCTGCAAGACAAGAAACGAAGTTTACAGATCAAATAAATCCTCTGGAGATCCGAGATAAATGAAGGAAGACACCGTCCGTCCGTCCGTCCGTCCAGCCATCCGTCCATCCATCTACCAGCCATCCATCCATCCATCCATCCATCCATCCATCCATCCATCCATCCATCCATCCATCCATCCATCCATCCATCCATCCATCCATCCATCCATCCATCCATCCATCCATCCATCCATCCATCCATCCATCCATCCATCCATCCATCCATCCATCCATCCATCCATCCATCCAA